CTTGGTTAGGAGAACTCGGTATTAAGGCCTAGTAAAGCTGCTGGTTTGCTGTGGTGTCTTTGGAAAGTTTTTTTCCCCCAAAATAAGTTCCTGTCTATGATGCAACAAAGTAAGAACAGTCATCACTTGCTATTGTAATGTGTTTTGAGGTCCTCAAATAAAATTCTATCTAAATGCAAAATATTTCTATTACCATAGACTAAAGACATATGATTGAAGATAATTACAAAGAAGAAAGATCCAAGTCAGCAAAGCATTTCAGTATACATAGGACTCCAACTGGGTATTTGTATTTTTCTGGAATTAGGATCACAGTCATCTACTGCAAAATTAAATCCAATGTTTTTGCACAATTCTTCTTTCTTGAAATTATACCGCAGTGCCTCTCAGCTGATTCAAATGATGGTATCACTTAGATTTTACATGTGTGCATCAGTTCAACATAAATTATTATGTAGTTTGCTGGACCTAAATTTGAGGAGGAATGCAAGAGCCTCATCTAAAATGAAGAGCCTCAAAATTTCAGTTCAAATCACTTACTCAGTCCTGCAGTAATTACAGTTTGTAAGAGCCTGTTTTCAGCACTGAAAATTTCAGATGCCCAAAGGTTTTCTTTTGATCAACAGCACCTTCTCTTGTAATGACGAGTAACTCACCACCCAACTAGACTGGCCTATTTAGGGGCTATCTCATTCCTCCAAATAAGATTATGCCTCTTGGTAACAGAAGAGTTAAAAACAAACAAACAAAATAGTCAAAAAGTGCAGGCAAGAGTGCCCGTGACTCTCTAACCCAGTGGTTAAGACTCTCACTTTGACAGAAGGAATTGTGAGCTCCAAACTCTGCAGCAAGAACTGTTTCTCTGTATTAATAAACTAAAATATATAGTTCCTGTATTGATTGTACTTCTTCCATTTCCCTTCAATGCACATCTGACACTTGCAGAATGCCCCTGTAAGGATGAAGAGCGAGTAATCTGGTCACTGAGACTCTGGCCTGGCCTTATTGTTGCCAGCTGTGAAGTAAATAAGAGAATGACCTTAAAACCCTTTTATGAAGAAAAGATATGTCAGCTACAACAGAAAAAGAGTCAACTACAACAGGAAGAGTTCTATCTCTGAATTCTGCATATGGACATTACATGGCAAAATGCCTACAGCCAAAAGGGAATATATTTAAGACATTTTTTTTGCTAAAGATTTCATTATTAGAGGATTATCCAGAATCTAAATGCATAGGAAAAAAACCCACCAAATTCTGTTGTTACTCCTTTTGTTAAGTTTTTACTTATTTCTATACCAACATTTCTTTCTTTGTGATGATTACGGACCATAGTAATGGATTAATTCATTTGGAATTATGATATTATTTATACTTGAGTTTTGCAAAACCTTTTTCTTCTGTTGAACAATCAATTTTCCCTTAAAAGCAAAATATTTCCAGCAGTAATTACGATAAGGCACTGTCTGCCTAACTAGACAGGAAGATGAAGTTTGTCTTTTAAGTCCATAGGCATATTTCAAATTAGAAAGAAAAAAAAGACAAGAATGACAGAGTTTCATTTCAGATTGCAATGTCATGCTAAAAATTAAATTTCTTAATTTTTATAACTTTCAAAACCTGCAGGCATCAAATATTGCCATCATGCAATATTAAATATTTCCACCAGATGTCTCCAATATATTATTTTACAGGGAAATTACATTTGTGTTACTACACTTCAAAATGAACACAAGTTTGGCAAAGTATTAAAGAAATAAAGAGAAGAAACCTGAAAATAAATATTTATCTGTTTAGACATGGATACCTTAGCACTTTCCCTAAATTGTTGTCAGTTCCACAGTGTTCCCTAAAGAAATAGCAATTTTTTGCACCAATATTTTGGCCAAACATGTTAAAAAAAAATAAAAAAATTCATGGCTTTCACTTGAGTTCATGGCTTTTACTTTTAAGAGGCACATCAGATCACGTCTTGATACCCACATTTTCAGAGCAATATGAGGCTGTTATTGGCACGAGTAAGTTTTGGATTACTAAGAAATAATTTGTTTGTTTGCTTTTTAAATCAGAAAGAGTTTGCAGACCCAAACTAAAGACGACTCTGTTTTCAGAACTCTCTCTGATGTAAGCATGCAGTAATCCAGTTATTTATTAATAGCCTTTGTGGATTACTCCCACTCATTACCTTGAAACGTTCAAACAGATTCTGTCAGCCTGAGTCAGTACATAACCAATGCTCAATACTTACAACCCAGCGCCAGAAGAGAATTTCAAGGACAAAAGGGAAAATTTGACATTGCTAATTCTCAGACCTGCATATCACTGAATTATGCTTCAAAGGCATCTTTATAAGAGAACTCCTACAGAATCCTCCCCATTTTTCTGTGCTTCAAAGTAGCACATGGTGTACCTGACAGACACGACAGAGCAAACTTCGCCTTATAATCACTTACATATATGAGCAACTATAGATACATGCACACCTGTATTTAACTCAAGAAGCCCACTCATTTATTCAAAGTAGATCATACCTGAAAATAAAAGACTCAAAAGTCTCTAAAGGAACAAGGATAGAAGGCACATATTTTTTACTAGGGAACTGAGGACATTATCCTGGAAGCAATGTGGGGTGGACTGTTGGCTTACATAAAAGCCAAATTCATCCTTTCAAGGTTCTCAACGTATTTTACATAGGTTTATTACACTTTGAATTTCACTGAAATAGAGGGGAGTATATCTCTATTCACAGCAGACAGGATGGGTCAGATAGAAATTAATTACAACCCATCTTCTCAAAAGATACTTCCATTTCGCAACGACAGTTCTCTCGTCAGAATAATTGACCTATAGTTTCAAATTACTAAGATACAGGTTTCCAACAGCACAGGAGACATTCAATTTTATCTATCAAAACTTCCAACTGAAAGAACAAAAAGCATATCAATGACAACTTATGTACTGAGATCCTCAGCCAATTCAGTAATATAGCATGGCATCTGTCTTTTATTCATATCAAAGAAATCTTTGAACAGCAGAAACACAGAAATTTCAAGTGCTAATCTCTAAGGCCAATGTTGAAGTATAACCGTTGTGTGGGCTGGTGACAAAAATAGCTCCTTTAGAACAGGTAAAAAAAATTGTTTCCTTATTTCTATTTAATTCCCTTTGAAAAAAATTTAAGGCCATATATTCATGTTATGGAAGCACATGCCTTAGATTTGTACAACTCAGCAACTCTTCCTGAATAATGTAATATGGATTTAAGCTTTCCTTTTCAAAATTAATTAAAAAATATACATCAATGGATTCAATTGTTGTAGCAGTATTTCCAGAAATAGTTTGGTTATCTGGTCTCTAAATTGAAGAGACATGGATTCGACAAATGGACCACTCGGCGGATAAAAAACTGGCTGGACAGTCGCGCTCAAAGAGTTGCAGTCAACAGCTCGATGTCCAAGTGGAGAGCAGTGACAAGTGGCGTTCCTCAGGGGTCGGTACTGGGACCTGTACTATTCAACATCTTTGTCACGGACATGGACAGTGGGGTCAAGTGCACCCTCAGCAAGTTTGCCAATGATACCAAGCTGTCTGGCGAGGTAGACACGCTGGAGGGGAGGGATGCCATCCAGAGGGACCTGGACAGGCTGGAGAGGTGGGCCCAAGCCAACATCACGCAGTTCAACAAGGCCAAGTGCAAGGTCCTACATCTGGGTCGGGGCAATGCCAAGGACAAATACAGGCTCGGCAGGGAATGGCTGGAGAGCAGCCTTGAGGGAGAAGGACCTGGGCGTGCTGATTGACCAGAAGCTCAGCATGAACCAGCAATGTGCAATTGCAGCCCAGAAGGCCAACCAGATCCTGAGCTGCATCAGAAGTGTGGCCAGCAGGTCAAGGGAGGCAATTCTGCCCCTCTACTCCACTCTTGTGAGACCCCACCTGGAGTACTGCATCCAGCTCTGGAGTCCCCAACATAAGAAGAACATGGACCTGCTGGAGTGTGTCCAGAGGAGGGCCACGAGGATGATCTGAGGGCTGGAGCACCTCTCCTTTGAGGAGAGTCTGAGAGAGCTGGGGCTGTTCAGATCTTATTGCGGCCTTCCAGTACCTAAAGGGGGCCTACAGGAGAGCTGGGGAAGGACTTTTTACTAGGTCATGTAGCGAGAGGACAAGGGGGAATGGATATAAACTGGAAGAGGACAGGTTTAGATTAAACAGAGGTGTCCCTGCCCATGGCAGGGGGGTTGGAACTCGATGATCTTCAAGGTCCCTTCCAACCTAAACCATTCTATGATTCTATGATCTAGAATTTTAGAGTCAAAGCAAAAAATAGCTGGGTGTTCTGTGCTCGCTATCCATGAACTCTGAACTGAGATGAAGTCATACAGCAGCACTGTTCAGGTGTTCAGTGCAAAGATATGACAGGTCATATACACTTTTTTGGGAGCAGAGGGAAGAGGAGCATCATTCTGCATTTTCTGAAGTAGCATAACATGATACATAACCTGCTATCATAAAAAGTGCTACAGTAAAGATGTATAGTACCTATAAGCATTTACCAAGATGCTTGGACTGCATCTGTCCAGAAAGTAAGAGACTACTTTTCCCCTCAATTACATAATTTGTCAAATACAGCAGAGTATATAAATATTTATTATTAGGAAAACACCTCGGCTATTTTCCCTTTCTTTAAATTTAATTTAGAATGCAGAATCAACTCACATTAAGTTTCTATGAACAGCCAGGTCACCACAAAAGGGGCATACAAGTTCTACATGGTTCACTACCTGGCAACAATGCACATAAACAGTGTTTTTATCAGATAATACCTCTAAAGAAAACAAAACAAAACAAAAAATATATGAAGCCAGTAAGATCTGTTAAATCTTGTCCTGGGCAGTACACAAGAAAAATAATTTCTGGTACCTCTGTAAAGGTCATTTTCAGTTTTTATTGCAGTTTGCTTTCATTTTTGTCTCTTAATTTGAAGAGCTGTACAATACCTGTCCAGTATATGCAAAGTCCAGGGCTTGTTTTAAACCGAGGCTTGTGACACCATGCAAATTCACCTCATGAGCTTCGCTTTCAACCATGCAGAGACTGAACATTGCCTATGGAAAGTAAAGAAATGTTATTAACCATTAAAAACAACACCCAGTGAAGGTCCAGGAAGAAGAGGACTTTTTTCCACCTTCACCAACCTTTGTTTTTCCTTGGATAAGAATTCTAAATAGCAACAGACTTGCAAGTTAGAATGAGATCTATACCAAGTTTTCAGTACTAACTCCATAGCAATCAATCTTGCAACTGAGTCCTTTTGTCAATAAATGCAAAAACTTATTCTGGAAAAACTGAAACAAATCCCTTTGGTCCATGTGTATATAGTTCTTAACTAAGTAATTCAGGTGAAATCAATGGAAAGAGTCATACAATGAGTTATCATTCAATAAAAAATATAAAAAAAATCTGGATTCTGGGGGGGTGGAGGGAATCTACACAAGCACCTCTAGAAATAATACTCATGTATAGTATCATTATATATAGGAAGGAACAATAAGCCATACACAATTATTTGCATGAAAAGAAGAGGCACTTAAAACACCAGCTTTTATAAGCAATCCTTTCCCAATTAGCATCTCGGACCAGAATGCGAACAATTTAATACTCAAGTTATCGAATGAGGAGGAAGCATGGAGACGCAGTCACCTAAACTTACAGTCTCCCCAGTTATTGCCCCAGTTTCTCCGATCATAAACACTAAACGGAAGATTTGCAAGGTGCTATGGAACTTCCCTGAAAATAACATTGAGGAGAGCAACTGTCCCTTTCATCCAGTCTTACCTTCCAGATCACCAGTCTTCATTGCCTCCCTGGACTGAAACAACCCTGCTCAGTCTCTGGATCCTTGTAGGAATCTTTTTATTCCCATCTCTGTTAAACTCAGACTCTTGTCTTTGTCCCTTGCTCTTCCCTCCCAGCCTGCACTCCCACTGAGTACCCCTACTTACCACTCTTCCCCTCCTCTTACCATTCCCATTCACTATTCTTTGTAACTCTCCCACACATTTTTTTAACAAAATATACCACTCACAGTCTTTAGACAGTAAAATGCAAACAAATAAACTGAACAGTTCTATAATCTGTCATTGCTGAAGAGACTCTAAACTTATTCCCAGTTGGTTTTGTGCCAAACTTAATGCCTCTGTGGAGGCTACCGAACTTCACCTTGGAGAACTCCAGCAAAGAAGCACTTCTTATGAACATACCCTCTGCTACTTCTGTCTCTACTCTGGCTGATACCTGCAGAAGCCGAGGCAGTCAACAAGCACACTGGATTTCATACGTGCAGCCTGTCCACCAAACACTGCTGAATTTAATTGAAAAAATAAGCCCTAACCCCTCTAGCAGTTTAGCACATAGCATTCACCCAGACCCAGGTGGCTTCTTTCAAGAACCAAACATTTCCTGCAAATAAGTAATTTCTTCTGAAATGTTAGTACTTTCATCATTAAAACACCATAATTTGACATAAATCTGTTGCCCGGAAATAATCCAGTATAAGCAAGAGTGGCATTTATCACATGGTCACTCCTTGTATTTTTTCAATTTCTATTTCAATAAAGTGATATCATGGCTTCTTTCTAACTGGCAACAGAAAAGAAGTGTCAAATAGTTTAAAAGGTTTATCAAACAAATCTAGTGAGACACAACCATGAAATACATACCTAGATAGAAAAAAAAAAAAATTTCTAACAAGTTTAGACACTTGTCTAATTCCATTAAAAATGTAATCAGAGTTGGACATTTCATTGTCATTCAAATGTATCAAATGAGCTCTAATAGCTACTGTGTGCCTTCAGGCCTTGCCAGGAGCTGCAAGGTACCCATCAGTCACCTGCTCCTTGCAAAAGCAGACCTGCAGTTTGTGTCTGGAAGAGAAAAGCTTCTCTTCTCAGAAATTCACTACTAAATAAACTTTTTGGATAATATTCCTTTCATACACCAACTCCTAAATAAAGACAATAAAGTCTCAAAGCAACATATGTCTACATATGGGTAGATTTGCGCACCTTCTATATACTCAGTTCCGTCCCAGAGTGCCAGCAGAAAGGCCAGAAACGCTCAGCGATACAAGATCCTGCACACTCTACATTATCGGACTGTGCTACAGCAACTGTCTGTATACCATCTATGTGTACACAGGCACCATCAGAAGACAGTGTGGTTACTAATAAAGTTTCTATTCTGATCAAAGGCTGATGTCCCGCACAACAGGTTAAGCTTACACATACAAAGAAACACTTAACTGAATCTCATCTGTAGACCGTGAATCACTTCTATGAAGAACCGGTGGAGTTTTTCTTTGTAGAATTACTAACTTTACCTTTAAGAGACTATTCTATCGTACCACAGAGATTCCAACATGGTCCTTACACAAGGTTTATTACTACACCTAACTTTGTAAACTCAGGAGGATCAGGCCTCTAACTCAGTCACTGCCCATAATCATCCACAGCATTCAACAAACACAGCCTCTAGCAGAGCTTTGACTTCCTGCCAATGAGCACTCTCCAAGATGATGCCTAGGGATAACTCAAGCCATGGCTGTTCCAAATAGCATGGACAAAGCCAACCTGTCTGCAGAGAGGAGAAGGTTTAGCCATATGAACATGAGCCATACTGTGCCGGTCGCTTTTAGGGCCAGAAAACAAGCCCTTATACATCTTATTTCCTCGTAGAGGCATAGTCTAATAGTGCAATGGGCTATCAGAACTGTAGCTGCCAGTAAGCCATAGGACTATGGCTCTGCATGCCACCTACTATATGGAGTTATTTTTCTCTCATACTATTCTTCGAGTATGCTGTGGAAGTCTTTGAGTATGAACTACATTTATTTTTCAGGAGGCAAGGCCAAAGAATTTGATCAAATGATAAGATCTGCAATGGTCCTCAGACAGTTCACATTCAGCTGAACTAGATTAGCCTCCAGGAAAGTAGTCTCCCACACAGACGAACCTAGTACTGCTCAGTGATCCACACTGCCTTCACCAGCAGGCAAGTTTCCTTCTCAGCCTGATAATTTAAAGGTTTAATCCAGCATGAAAAAAATCTGTTCAATCATAGGCAGAAACTGGGCTCAAACTCAATCTTTAATTTGCACTGCTGTACTTGAATATTGCAGTTTTAACTGTAGAAACATATGGATCGTTAAATTCTGGCTTGAGACTTCACCAATACCTGGAGAATGAGTTACTGTTGGGCTGTCAAACTCCGATTTCAGATGCATCTCTGAAAAAGCTCTGCGGTTTTGTGAGCTTAAATAGATCCAGTCATGCTTTTAATGCAAGGCTAGTAGCCTACTTTATTTTTCCCTTGGGTACATTACAAACAAAGCACTAAGATAAACATCTCAGGTGAATGTACAAGCAACAGACAAGAAAAAGAACAAAATATAAAATATTTGGACAAGTGCACAATTCAAAGTGAAACTTACCAGAAATGTTACCAAATTTGGCTAAGCATGAGATGTTAATTATTTTAGTTATTATTTTCATTCAAAATGCTAGTATATCTTACTTTATTTTAAAGTACTTCCACTTGGACAAAATAAAATCTTCTTTGAAAATGCCTCATTTCTCCTCCAAGACCTTCAAGATAGTGGGCAGTACAAGCTGCCAATATGTTAAACAAAGATCCCTTTTATAATAAAACCCATGGTGCGAGGGCTTATCTTTTCTTCCATTTCCTTTAAATATCCAGGCCTTGTTCTGCCATCCAATCAGTCAATAAGCCAGCATTGTGGGAAATTAAGTGATTGTTTAAATCCTGATGTTTTAGTCAGGATCTTGATTAAGTAAACCAATTCCCCAAAAGAAAAAGAAACACAATCCACTTGCCATGCTGTGGCACCTGCTCCAAAACTCAAGTTTCAACATCCTGTCACAACTGGATATATTCCATTTGTGGAATTCTACCTGAGTTCACACTTGTTTAAAAAGCTAAAAATTAGGATGGCCTTACTTTTGTGGGGCAGGCAGACACTTTATTAGCTGTAAAAAGAGAAGGAAGGGAGGAATCAATCCTCCATTCTTCTTCTAATCTTGGTCTGAAACAGAAACAAAGCTAGAGATCTATTCCCAAAGGAAAAAAACCAAAACAAAGTACACAATCCCTGGATAAAAAGAATCAAACCATAAAATAACTGTTAGATTCTTGAAAATTTGACTTCAAAGTAACATGGCAAGTTGGTGGGCGTTTAATAAACAGCACACTTGCATGCAGTTTCACCGCTTTGCCCTCAGCAGCCAAAAGCACCTTTATAAAATGGTTTCTTCTGCAAACATAAAACACAAAAGACAACAAGAGCTCAAAACTGAATGACACACAACAACAGGGTGACTACGCTCAGATGTGATCAGATCTGATGTAACCGGGCAAAATAGCCTGAGTAAAAGATGCTTAGCACAGTCATTGGGTTCAACTTTCCATGCTCAGTTTTTGCTGCTGCTTAGCTTTCAAATGCAAAATGGGTGTAAAATACCACGAAATCAGAATAATATATTACTGTTAAAATAAGTATGAGATAAAAAAATGTCTAGATACACCGATTTTATCATTCAAGCAGCAGTGCAGAAATGTGTACAGGCTCCCTAACAGCATACAACTTCAAGAACAGATACCAAGGTCACAGAAACACAAGATGATATTCAAAATCTCCAAAATACAAATTGCTCACTGTCGCAATGGTAAGGTAAATGATTGCTCCTTGCCTTTGAGTCATTTTCTTACTTACATGTGCCATATCCATGAGAGTAATGAGCTTGTCCTCATTTGTACACATGAATCTTACAGCCATGTCAGGCACAGCAAGCAATAAATCATCACAAAACCACTTACCCAAGCTGTATGATATTTTACACAAGTACATTCTTTCAGTGAATTCTACAGAACTTAGTGGCCTTTTAAAGGCAAGAAACAGAATCAAAACATAAGCAGCCTCAGTAAACAGGTAAATGAATATAAAAAGAGCAAATAGTTATGCTGTTAAAAAACAAATACAGTAATAAAAAATGTAAGTTATTTACTGCTATGACCTGGGGAAACAAACTGG